TGCAGCTCCACCAGTTTGCTTTGGCACCGGGATGAAATGCTACATCACACTTCCAGATTACATGTGGCTCTCACACATGCACAGACGCGAGGAGATTCGTACGCACACTAACGCGCACTCCCTTGGCCTCGGGCAGCCGCGGAGCATCCAGCATTTTAACCCGGCTGACATTAAGCACTGTTATTTGACACTTTGCTCTCCTGAACGTTTGTTTAACCGCGCTTCATTCTTGCCAGGAAGCCTTTATGGGTGGCTTTACCGAATGAGAACTGCATCAGTCCCTTGCGGGTTGGCCACGAACCAAAGCTGCAATACTGACAGAGGGAATAAAAGCAAAGAGCAAAGCTTACAGTCAAAGTGACCAAATCCTGCTGTCCTAAAGGGCCTGCTTCAAATTCTTAAAGCGCGCGCACCCCACCAAAACAGAATTCAGAGGCCTAATGTTATGTTTGTTGGCCTCGCCATACCATAACTCTCGTGTCTCACGCTAACTACCCCAGAGGCATGATTTTAAAAACAACATTCTGCGGCTGTGTAATTATTTGAAAGCACAGGAGATTTCTTTAAAAAAAAAAAAAAAAAAAATCACTTTCTTTTGCTCACCAACCCCCACACCCCCTCAACAAGCACACATACAAACAAAAGTAACTGAAGCATCGTTTCCCCCTTTGCCTCCATGGCAAAGGCAGCGGAGGTCACTTAGTGAAATTAGGAAAATGGAACAAACATACATCCTTAGCCATCTATATTTAGCATCTTACTAAGATTCATTTCATAATGGCCTCTACAGTCAGATTAAAATAATAATAATTTAAAAAAAAAAAAGTTCAGCTGACCATGTTGTACCAGTTTAAGGTACCAAGTGCTCTGGTGATGTTAGCTTTTCATTTCAAAATAAAAGCACACAAACGTTGCTCATCTGTGAAATCAGTCGCTGATGCATCTTCACGCATACTGTGCCATGCTTTCATGTGTGGGATGTTTAAGAATGAGGTCATTTCTAACAAGTAAGTTTCTAAAAAGTGTCTTGATGAATCTGCTCCATGACTGGAACGCGGGCCTGACCTCTGCTTGGCCTTGGCGGAGGTGAAGGCGGAGGAGGGGTGCTGTGAAAGGATGGAGGCCTATTTTGAAATTCTAATAAGGATTGAATAACCATCTGCCCCTTGTCAGTGAGAGAAATGAAAAGGTGGAAAAAGAGATATAAAAAAAAAAGAGGAAAAAAAAGCGGCGAATTTGCGCTTCTGTGGTCTTTCAGAGTTTCCAGCTCTGAAAGCTTCATCAGAGTAATGGTTCTGAGCATGTGTTGCTGGCCGGCCTCTTGCTTTGACACCACTGCTGGATCACACTGCTTTCCCTAAGAAACCCATCTGTCAATGTCCCCCTAATTCCAGCTAATAGTTTCCAAAAAACATAAGCTGAGCCCACAAAAAGCCACAAGCCCCCTGAAAAGCTTGAGAGGGTTTGTGACAAGACTCGCAAAAATCTGTCCGTTCTGCTTCTCCTTCCTCTTCCGCTGTAAAAGTCACATTTTAATAAGACCACTGTTTCATTAGTGAAGCAGACATGATCTAATAGCATCTACGTATTATATAACAGCTAATAACTTTTTTCAGAGGTAATAACTAATTTGTGGGATTTCCTTCAGGTGATGACATGGCCTGAGGTATAACGAGAGTCTACAGTGAAAAGGTCTTTGACTGATTGGTTGTTTAATTTCAAAATTAAACCCTCTTGTGCAGAAAAAAAGAAGAATACCATATCATTCATTCCCTCCGTGGACCCAGTGTGTCAAATTTCCTACTCAAAACATTCAACACCATGCCCAAAGACGTCAGCAGAGCAGAAACACTCGGCTTTCGCTGCTAACCGCAGCTCACCTGCATTTCTGGCAAATCAGACGAAACAGCAGTTCAATCAGTCTTTAAATGACTTCCCTGTTTAATGCATACCAGCGCGCCTGGCTCAACACTGGAAGCAGATCTGGCTCGGTGGGCCACTGGGGGATGGATGGTGTCTGGCCCCGAGCTCGCAGCGTCCCAGCAGTGCTCTGGACTTCCTGCAGGTTGAGTACAAATGAGGGAGAGGAAGGGCTGGAGAATAGAGCAGCTTGTTGTTGCAGCCAAACAGGGCCGAGACGGCTGTGGACACAGCCAAGAACAGAGAGCTACGAGACCATAAATTATCATCTACTCAGGATGTCACATTGTCGTTGACTCCACAAGAGGGCTCTTCATCTTACGGTGCGACTTTGGCAGATTCAATTTATGGCATGATCTAGTGTCTCATATTTTTAAGTTAACATAAAGTATTTACATTACGAGACCGGCCACGCCAGCAGAAAAGCCCACACTCCATCACAACCACTAACCAAATAGCTCTTATCCATCTGTTTCCTTATTCTCTCCTGTGGCTCGGACGCCGAGCAGATAAATCACAGATTTTTCCATCATGTCTCCCTCAATACAAACAGACACAATCCTTTACGAGGCTGCCCTCTCCGACTACTACAGCAGGGATTTGTAAACCAATGTCTCGAGGCAGGATTCATAGAGAGGGAGGCGGCAGATGGGCGTGTGTGCGCATGGCTTGTGTCTGGAGACGCTATGCGAGTTTGCCAAGAGCACAGACAGAAATCCTGGTGCGGGGCATGTCGAACATTTAGCAAAACCCAAGTTCTGTTGGAGGCGATGTTCACGTTGTGCATGTTAAGATTTAAGTCAAGACCGATAAGACCAAAACCTTGCACAACATTTAAAAGGAACTTGAAAGGGTAAAAAAAAAAAAAAAAAAAAATCAGCCAAGAGGCACATAATTTCTCAAGAGCCGACTCGGCTTCAGTGGCAGGGTGCAAAACAGCTTTTGATGTGGCTCCAAATCTGCCCACTCTGAATTCCTCATTACCCACAAACCACCTCCCAATCAGCTTAACTCCGTCACCCCTGCACGGAGGATCGTGACCTTTCAGACTCTCCCTCCAAACCCAAACAACCCCAGGACCTCTTATGACACCTAAGGGACTCCTCCACTATGTAACTTACCACTCTTACCCCCCCAATCAGTTTGTGTAACGTCTCAAAAAGAAAAGCAAGCAGAGAAATCGACAAGGCACGGCAGCATATTTTTTTCTTAAGGGGCTTTATTTATACACTGAGAAGCCTCTTTAAAAGGCCCTCCTGCTACTTTAAGAATATTTTGGAAGTGGTTCCAGTGGAATAGGCTGTAAAAAAAGAAGAAAAAAAAGCTTGTGGAACGTGAAATTAGGGACAACTGGGACTGGTTTGTTGGCAAATCAGGATGTGTGATCAGGTATAGCGTGCGACTAGCAAAGACCTTTAACTGCCCTGTATCAACACCGGGATTAGGTCATCGTAGTTGGCCCGTGGAGCCGGGCTATTTAGGCCAGAACTTCTGGGTAAAAGTGACATATCAATCCCACAGAGATGAGATCTACGGAAAGCGGGCGTAACACTTCACAAACGGCTACGGGACATTTGAAAGAGGGCGTGCGCAAAAGTACGAGGGCGAAATCACTCAGGGATTGACAGGATATTGTTACAGAAATGTGTGCCTGCATCTGTGAGCCGAGAAAGCGAGGGCGTCGAGGAGGAAAAGCCAAAAGTAAGGTTGAAATCTCCCGTGTCAGTTCTAAGTCCAGTCTAAGGCTAGAACGGCCTCGCTTCTCTGGCTCTGTCACTCTCTGCCCCCTTTAAACAGATCTGGCTCTGTTCAATGCTAAATATGAACTCAGGCCAGCTCACAGGGCAATTACAACATGTTAGAAAAATATACGGAGCTTTTCAATGTTCTGCTCCTGTTTCTCCCCCCTCCTTCTCTGGCTGTAATTTTATTTCATAAAGGTTAAAGCAGGGACAGTGGTTTCTAATATGGTTTTATTTTGCTACGCTAACACATTTTTATGACAAGCAAAATTGACCTGAATTGAGTTCAACGTAAGTCTATTCACACCAACAGAAGAACGCTGTAAAAAAAAAAAAAAAAAAAATTATATATATATATATATATTTGTGTGTAACCACCAAAGAAACAGCCACACATTAGAGGATGAATCCTGATAAAAACGCTAATGTGACATGTAAGCAAGACCTTTGTACAGCCATAAAATTGGTGTCATAGAAAGGCCTAATCCTATACAAAGGTAATCCACTTACATTACAAAAATTGCCACAGAAATTGCCATGATTTTTCTTGGCATGCTTTCAGAGCATGTCTGGATGACTTTTACTGAGTGTGTCGTGAGGTGACGGCAAACGCTGCCAAATAACATTCTTGGAAGTCTTAGCCGTAGCCGTGTGCCAATGAGTCGAGCTGTTGTCATCCACTGTTTAGACTTGCTTGTGCAAAACAATTTTTTCCTTTTTTAAATAGACAAGTTCAGGATGTAGTTGAGTGCAGTAGCCCTGTTTTTCTCTACTGGAACAGTAAATGCAAGAGGCTGATGAGAAATGAAAGGAACGTATGGGCTTGTGTTTTGAGAGACATTGCCAAAGTTGTCAGCGCACAACTCTTCACCTGTATAAACAACATAATGTTCTGGCAACATCATTAATTACTCTTATGACAGTCAAACACGGGTCTTCCAAGTCATATTTATCCTTTTCTACAGCTCACTCTTTCTCTGTGTTGCTTCTGTATAAAATCATTTTTGGTGCCCTCTCAGTTCAGCTCACGTCCTGAAAATAACTGTGCCGTGAAAAGACGCAACAAAACAGAGACATAGACAAACATTGAAATTTTCAGGCATTTCCTAATTTTCATCTGCTCAGCTAAGACATGCAATCAGAACTTTAGATGCAGCCACTGTTGCACTGATGTTTGCGCCACAGTGTTGTTCAAATTCAGACTTTTTTATGATTGTCTGCAACCTGAAGTAATGATCCCATGCAATATCCAGATTATATCCACGAGATATCTAGAGCAGAAAAACTAAAACATGGTTAAAAGCACATAACGGATGACAGATAAGAAGAGAGACTTACGCAGACATTCATTGGCCTCGCGAGCATTGGCCCTCTGCCAAGGTCGGTCATAGTGAAAGGGCTTGCAGCGGTCACATTCAGGTCCCTCCGTGTTGTGTTTGCAGTCACACACCAGTTTACCTTCCTTGTCTTTCAGACAGCGTGAGGCATGGCCGTTGCACTTACACCTCCCGCCCACCTGGAAGTCTCCCACTGCATAGAAATAAGTTGGGAGTGTTGATGTCACTGCCATGGGGTCATCATCCCTCCCTCCAGTGTTGCCTCCGGCCCCTAGTACCAACTCCCGGGGCATCTGCGGCCGGCTAAAGACCACACGGATATCAGTGACGGTGACCCAGTCCTGAAGAACTGGGCTGTTGTCAAAATCTTTACCAGAAGGCCGTCCATCCAGAGTGCTGAAAGCTATAAGCCCTCCAGACAGCGGGTAAAGGTCAGTGTGACCATCTGTGCAAAGAGCTTCCTGCTCATTCTGCTTGGTGATGGTTGCTTTGTTGGGTCGGTTGTACATGCGGCGGCACTGCGAGGAGTAGAACTGGTAGGGCATCCAGCTTTTGCCATAGTCCATGCTTTTGTATATGGCCAGGGACTCGGGTCGTGGTGAACAAAACTGCAGGCTGACGTAGGTAATCTCAAATTTTTTACCCAGCGAAAGGGTGAGAGTCACATTGTACGGAGAGGTGTTCAGATTCTCCGACTGCCAGCAGGTGAGGTTGTGGGCCGAGTTGAGGTCGGTGAGGTAGGAAGCCGGGTGGGCACGGCGAGGGTCGGCTGCGTCACAGATTTGGCACGTGCGTACAGAAGGCCGCTCGTCGCCCCGCTCCACCACGCTACAGGAACGGGAGGGAGGTCGGCCACACACGCTGGAAACCATCACCTCCTTGCCGAAGGCAGCATTGATAAACTCAGGGATACACCGGCGTGCTGCACCGGTGTCATCATAGCAGGGGTCTGGAGGAGTCTGCTGTCCTGTGAAGGGATTAGCGGCACTGTGGGTGAAGGTTGAGCATGCCAGGAGGCACAGGCCCAGCAGGTACCTCCAAGGTTCCCTCATCCTGCTCAAGGGGCCTGTGTTTGGATGTCTATGTGCAAGGATGAGGGTATGTGTGTTTTCCCAAGTGTGTAAACTGAGTTTCTGCGTCGTTGCACTGATGTGTCAGTGTGTGACTCCCCCCCCCCGTGAGTGTGTAATTTGTGAGTCAGTGGAAGAAGAGTGTCTGAGCTCAGTGACCCTTCGCTTCAGGCTGACCAGAGCCTTTCCTGTAAGAGAGAGAAATAAACACAAGGGTCAATGTCATCGACATATTTTACCATAACAGGATAGAAAATGGAAAGTGGCATTGATGTACTGCATAAAAAACAAGCAAACAAAAACCCAATGTTGTGTATCTTTAAAACCAAATTATACTTCCCCTTATAAAGGAAATTAAATAAAATCTTTTACATTGTACGGCCACAAGTGAATGTTTTCATTGACTGAAAGCCTGTCAAAGGATCAGACAGATGAGGGGCCCGAGAGAGAGAATGTGACCATTTAAAGAGAGACATAAGTGACTGCAAGTAGCTGCATCCTGAATTTCAATGCCGGCCTCTCATTCACTACTCGAGTCCTACGCTATTCAGGTCAAAACTGGCCAAGCCTTCTGGTCATGCTTGAGCAGCATGGCAGAAGTCACCCCATAATCCCTGGTGGTGCGGCAGAGCAGTGAACCGTGTGTGACCCTGGTCAAAGCACTGCTGCAAGCGCTGGTCCTAGAAGGGGGGGGGAAAAAAAAAAAGACGGGGGGTGGATTCTACATACGAAGGCCAGGCTGTAGTTACTTGCTAATTTTTGAGGAATTTTACAGGAAATCAACCGTTGCAACGCTATTGTGACACAGTGCTGACCGCAAAGAAGGCAGCATTGTGTTTATTCGCTGAACCAGAAAATTCACCAAAAGTGATGGGTATTTGAGAAATGAACTCCACTTTAAAAGAACTTAGAAAGGCCTCAGTGTCTCACAGACTAAATCTATGGGTCAAGACAGGTACCTGGCTGGCTTCTTTCATAAGCTGAGTGCTTGACGAGAGGCCTCTTGGTCCCCGAGAAAGATCGAGGGGCACAAGGAGAAAAAGCCCCAGAGCAAAGAAAGCAGACAATAGAAAGAGATGTATATGGCCTGAGGTTTCTTCTTCCTTAATCCCCTTTTTACTTCCCTGGATGTCAAGTCTAGAAGAGCCTCATTTTAAAAGTGACAGCGGAGGGGTTGGGAAGGTACCTCAACCGTTTAAATTCAATTACAATGCATCACACCCACCTCCTTCTACCCGCACACTCTTTCTTATACTACAGAATCGTTCTTCATCTTTGTAGAACAAAAAGCTGCATCTGTGGCCAATCAAAAAAAAAAAATTGCAATTTTTGTGGATTTTGTCCATAGAAATCCTCAAAAAAAACAAAAACAAAAAATAACACCCACGTGTCCTAATAAATAGGATGCCTCTTCTGTGCTTAAACACCATTCAGCTGATTGTCAAGCATAAATTCAGATGCTTAGAAAAATTAATGTGATGAATATCGATATCAATCTCTGTCACGCATTACAGAGCGTAACCTGTGTGGTGTTAATTTTAGCAACATTAAGCAGGTAATTTTTTAAAGTTTTTTTATTTTCAGTATGTGTGTGTTATGGATACATGCAGGAGAACATTGGATACAGTTTTCACTCTTAAAGAAAAGAAGAAAAGTATGCTGTTAATAATTTTAAAGTAACAGGTACATTTGGAGTATTTGAAAGGAAAGGAGATAAAATATCATACAGGTGTTTTTCTATTTAAACATACAATGTCATAAGGGAAATGCAGTATCTACACAGTATTATAAAAGGGTTGTGGGCTGTATTATAGAGTATCCGAATGCCCCTATCTTAATGTGAAATTACATAGTTTGAGGTGCAATCGTACTCTGTTGTCCTTCTGTACCTACTGTATGTACAGTATGCATCACAACTTCAAATAAAAAGTTCAGAAAAATTACAGAGAACTTTTGGGACATGACAGCATAAGTTGTAGGATTTAGTATAAAGTGATATAGTGGGAAGTTCCCTATATGTGAGTATAGGGAAATACAACCTAACACATCTGAGATGTGAAGCAGACATTCAGAAATAATCTTCTTGGCAAGTTAAAGACCTCAGCATAAGAATAAAAACAGCACATTTCCTCTTACACTATGCACAGTGGATTGAGAGGATGGGTCTGCTCATTAATGACTGGACTAAGAGGTCTTGGCAGGATAGATAAGAACACAGATAGGTTGCATGTGTCTGCGGTCAGGGAGGTTAAAGTGGTTACACAGACGGGAGTTCATCAACCAAACGTACTCCATCAAAAGACCGGTCATGGTAAGGCTGGTGGGCTTGACACTCAGTGGGGAGGGCGCAGAGAGGCGGCCGATAGAATTAGCAACTCATTAGCATCCAGGCCGGGCTTCCATCAGAGGCATGCTCATCTGGGAAAATAAACTGTGGGGAGTCTCTGAAGGAGAGAGGAAATAGGAGTGGAAACAAAATAGGAAAAAGGTCTGGAAATTATCACAGGATTGAAGATTTTATGGGCATGTTTAGAAAGAGTTGGTGGGTGGACAGCAGACCAGAGAAAAATAGATGGCATAATCATACATAAGAGTTTTGGTAGGCAAGAAAGGAAAGGGACACGGGAAGGAGAGAAACAGTGAGGGGCACGACAGTGATAAAGCAGAAATGACTGGAGGGAGGGCAAGCAAGGACAGAGATGAATGGGAGCAGTAGGAGAAAGAGGGAAAGTGACAGAGATGGAGGGAGGGAGTTGAGGGAAGGACATAAAAATTGAGAGAGGGTGCAATGGAGGGGAGACAGATTAAGGTCTGTGTCTGGACTTTGGATGACTAAATATGGTGCGGCCCATGTGCCTGCCGGGACTCTGGTGCTGTCAGGCGCGTCTGACAGACGAGCGTGTAGGTTAAACAGAGACGGTACAGTGACACGGCTGTTTAATTCCACTCAGTCCGCCCTCCGAAACAGTTGCCAGCATGCACGAGAGACTTATCTCACTTCCACTAAAATCAGCCTTTTGGTATTTTTAATCTCTGCTATGACATCAGCACTGAGGTGTAGCAGGTTGACCTTTTAAATACTAAGAATCTGTTTCAGCAAAAAGTTATCTGCCTGTAGCTTTGGCCGTGTGTTTAACAAGCTACGACTTCCCCTCAGTGGGAAAGATTTAGCCTCTCATTAAATGTGGTTCAAGTAGCAACAGCTGCAGTCCAGTGTCTCCGTCTTTCTGATTAAGACGACGAATCCCACACAGAAATGTTGGGTTAGCGAGGAGAGGCTGCAGCTTTTAAAGAGAAACAAAAAGACTTGCAGATTTGCTTACATTGTTCTAGTAAAGAGATATTCTTATTGTTGTGGGAGAAAATAAAATCATGCATGCAATATTTTTACATTATGATTCCTGCCAAGAGTTAAATGAGATGATTAAAACCACTCTCGTTCAAGTGAGTGTAGCAGTTATCCTGGCTCTGTTTAAGTGTTGGAAAATCTGGCTGCCACGTTGCCCAAGCTCACTAATTAATTACATTTGAGTGTAAAGATGTTACATTTAACCTGAGGGTAATGCATCGCTTCCCATGTTGATCTCCTATAATAGCTACGCTTTTGCATTTCACGTTAAAGTTGGCCTGCTTGCAAACCTACTGGCATCATTTAAGTGAGAAAAAAAGAAGTAATTTTAAATTGATTAGCTGGTCGAAGTGCGGTGATAAATACAAACTGCATATTAGGCAAATTGTCACAACAACATTCCTCTGTGGCATAACGGCAATGAAAATCCTGAATGTGCAAACATGCTTTGATCCCAAATCCTGGGCTGTGGCAGTGTTAAATTATTTGCTTATTAGTAATATAGACTCCTTTGGAACAAAGGAATGAAAATAATATGGGGCTTTTAGAGTGAAAGCCCTCACTCTCCCCCTGCATAGCATGTTTTTAAAGATTACTCAGGCCATTTGGCAGTCGGAAAAGATCCAGCGGTTTAAAAATCAAACCAGTGAGCCCAATTAAGGAAGGCTGATGATGAGGGGCAATGGGAAAGGAAATTAGATTAAAGAGATGTGGGCGACGAATAGAGGGAGCAGAAATCCAGGAAGACAGACGAGAGAGAAAGGCAGGAAGAGAAGAACAGGAAGATGACAGGGTGGTCTGGTGGTTTCAGCGGAGACATTCCTGGGAACGTTTTTTCAGCTTCTCGCTGTCACCGGGAGATCATCCCATGTTGAGTTGTCTCTCTTTCAAGCGTGGGCGCCTCTGTCAGAGTTCACAGATTAGGAAAACAGAAGTGGCTGAGAGGCTTTATTTGGCTTGGGTGAAGAGGAGGGCGCCAGGGGAGGTGAGGATAGGAGAGGGACCAGCTGAGCCACTTTGTATCCCAACTGGGAGCCGTTCCTGCTGTTCTGGAGCGACGGTGTGCTGGCTGCACTCAAAGTGGGACTGAATGGAGGCCTTCTGCGACGACCGTCTCAGATGACAGCAAGCTGGGGTCCAAATTGGTACCCTGCTAACCCTCCAGCCTGCTGTATAGTAATCCCTAATGGGGTTATTACCGGCTGCCTGGAATCATGATGGGATTTTTAATAGGCTAACAACAGGGCTACCTCCATTCTCATTATCAGCATGGAAAGATACACTGTATGAATATTACACCGCTGAACAGGAAAGCAACAGGAATCCCCTACATCTACTCCATCCCCTCAATCTTATCCATTAATCAACTACTAGTGTTCTATTTCAGATATCAGGAAGTAGTCACGTTTCACAAGGTTTATTTTAGCTTTTGTGCCACACCTAATAAATTATTAATTGATGCCATTTATGAGAGAATAACATAAATTTATATATTTGAGAAAATGGAACCGGCCATAAATGACAGTTCTGATTAATCATGAATCACATCCCTGTCCACTTTGCACCCACAGACAAACACACACACACACACCTGAAAGATAAACAAACTTGTCCAGACCAATCAACATGACTGACAGGTTTCAGGTAACAGGGGTCAGATATTATCAGCCTGAATCCCACTTAAGGATGTCCATCTCCACGGTCATGAAGATCCTACCATTGGTGTGTGTGTGTGTGTTTGTGTGTAAGTACGTGAGGGTGAAGGAAAGTCTGAGTACCTCACTAGCATTCATTAGGCACTGAAGAGGCAGGGGGAGGGCTGAGGAAAGAGGGGTGTAACCTCACAGCTGAGGGTGTCATTAGCACGGGGATCACTAACAAATTTTTAAAGCCTGCTTATGTCTCCTCAGAGGGTGTGTGTGTGTGTGTGTGTGTGTGTGTGTGTGTGTGTGTGTGTATATAATGTGACAAATCCTCCAATTCCAACCTTCAAAACTACTCACCATCACCTTACTGCTATATCAAACTCCTGTAGCTAAAGCCAAGTCCATGAGATAGTACTGGCTGTTTCTAGGATAACACAAAGCCGTTTCAAAGTGTCTGTGTGGCTCGAGACGCAGCAGGCAGATCCACAGAAGATCATAAAACATCCAAGTGAAAAAAAAAATTCTCTACCTTTCTATCTGACAGAAAGAGACACCACAGGGAGAAACCCTGAACGCCCAGCAGAGGAATGCAGCAGCTTCTCTGGCCCAGCCCACACCGCCGGCCCCGAGTCTGACAGCAGTTCTTTAAATCAACAGAACCTGATCCAGAACCAAACAGGAGGAGAGACGACAGACAGAGAAGTTAAGACGGCTCTCACAGACTCTGGACGGGAAGCTGTACTGAGCTGCTGATCCTTGTATTTAGTGCAAAAAGTCACGAAAACTGCTGATAGGACACCTTGTTGTATATTTTTGTCTGTTAAAAAGAGGGTTCAGTGAGGTGAGCCTGCTCTCGGTGAGAAAACGAGAAGCGTAAGGGAGTGGAGAGGACATGAGCAGGCAGAAAGTTTTAGGCATTACTCATGAATTTACACGGGATTAAAGAGGGTTAAACTGTGAGAACAGAAACAGGCAAAAATACACATCAAATGAATACACAAGACCTTTGGTTTTAGTTGTTTTTCCAACTTAGAGCCTCCACACATCCAACTCATGTGTTTTCTGCTTCACTTTTAAATGTGACTGCACTCATAAAAAGCGAGAAGAAAACACAGTAAGTAGGGTGAAGACGAGTATGAGCTCTACAGTTAAAAAAATATAATAAAATATGATGCATTTAAATAATTTCTTTTTTAGTTTTGACCTTTTTTTTAAAAAAACATTTAGTCAGTGACACAAACCAAACATCTGTGGTAAAATAACTGATTTTAAGACTAAATCCTACAGAAAGCTCAACCTTAAATCACACTGCAAAATAAAGTATGTGAGTTAGCAGTTACAAACTCTGAATCTATTTGAGTCACAGCCAAATGGATCATTCTGAACATAAGTATGTTGCGTTACAGGATGTGGAACTATTTTCTTGGGAAAAAAAAGAAAAAAAAAATCTCCATGAAGCTCCCATGAGGAAAAACTTTTCTTCTGGATTTTTAGCTGACAGGGTAAAAGTTTGGAGTACAAGGACCGGCGTCCAACAATTTATAGCCACCTATGTCACGCTGTGATCTGTTTTCAAATACAAGAAATATTTCCCCTACATGTGCTGTCAAGATGAGCTTGAGAGAGAGAGAGCGAAAAAGATGGATGATATCCTCGGACCACGATGGCGGGCAGACTAACAAATTCCTTTAACACTGGATGAAAGCTATCAAGTAGCAGGATTACAGCGATAATACAGACATGTGAGAAATGCTGAACTTCCCAAAGTGTGGTGTTTTCAGGAAGCGGTTGGACTGGAGGGCTGCCCTATGGAACATTTCCCATGGACATAAGCACAACCCAGACCGCAGCTTGAGAGGCAGGTGAGCCGTTTCTGGGTATGAGAGGAAGTAACTCGTTCAGAGGCATGGAAGGATTTAAGGAGAAGAGAGGTGAACGCTCCTTTAAAACCCTTTGAAGGTTGGCTGCGGTAGGCAGAGCCGCGGTTTTCCCAAAAGCCCCCCTAACAGGAAAAACGGTCTCTTTTCCTCTTTTTTTTTTCCATTGCATAAGAGCAACGTCTACCCCACCACAGCCAAAAGCACGGACCTACTTTGAACTCCAAAGGGGGTGCAAATCGTTTTATTAAGTCCTTGAAATACTCCGAAGGTTGCGTTCATTAAACACACTCCTTGACAAACAAGTCGTATTTACAAGACACTTTATCGGATACCAAAGCTTGTGACTCAGACAAGCCTGCTTCACCTCTTCCTGTTCTTTCCTCTCCATCTTTATTCATTCTCCCTTGAGGGCGATGTTACTACACCCCAGGGGGATTTCTGTAGGGGAGTTGCCCACAGGTCAGAGGTCAGAGTGTAAAGGCACTAACACTTTTCCATCACTATGGATGTGTCTGTGTGTATCCAAGTCAGATAAGTATACTGATAGGAAATAAGTGGGGCCAGATATACGCATGTGGACCTCACACACACACACACACACACACACACGCACATGTATACACATCACTCTGCATCTGGATGAAATCTGCAGCTAGCAAACGCAGGCCTAGCGTTTGCTGGTGCAGGAAGTGGTGGGATAAAATGTGAATCTCTGCCTCTGGGTCCTCTTCCCACAGCGAGAGCCATCTTGGGTATCACGCTGATGAATGATGGGTATTTTAACAGAGAAGGTAAGCAAGTACAAACACCTAATTTGTCACTCAGAGAGATATCACACAGGCAATTCAGTCAGCAGTCAAGATAGTATTTCAACTTCATTCTCACCTCTGAAGTGGAGACAGATGCTGCCTGAGTGAGTGCATGTAATGTGGGTACTCTGTCACACCACATTCAGCTCATGGGCTGCATATAAATGCAAGGTTGGAAACAGAATATATCAATTCTTCATGGATTGAAATCAAACTCTAATTCTTGGATCTTGTGTTTTATCCCTGTAGCTACCAGAATCTGATATGGTAGCTCCTGACAAACAGCTGCATCGTGAGTTCAATGATAGCCTCTCCCACAGGCTCGTGGTTGAGCAGACCTTATTAATTAATCAGCCTGCACAGTTTATTCGAATGCTCGACTCAAGGGGGATGAAGTTACACACAGTAAAAACAGAGCAGTGTATGCGACTAGGAGAAACAGATATAGCATTACTTTCCTGCTCTCGTCAAACTGCTGAAGCCACAGAAGGAAAAATATAGTGGAAGTGTTGACTTTACTCGCTCAGAGGAATCCTGCTCTTCAAGGCAGAAGAAAACAGTCTGCTTATGTTACTGCAGCTTTAACCATCCCCATCCAGCCGCACTTTAAGGAGTTAATAAAAATCTGCACTATGTTGCTCTGGATTAGCCTCCACATCATGTGCCTTCAGCTGCTCCTGGCTCTACCTCCCTCGCTCTGTCACTGATGGAAGCAGGGTGTGATGCAATTAAATAATGATGATTAATTTGCAAAAACAGGGAAGCGGTGGCTGCACTCCAGATGAACAGCCCTTCGCTTCAGATGCATTCAACTCCCCCTGCTTTCCTCTGGCTTCGACTTGACATTTCACATTCTTTCTGACCTTGGCGAGCGGCAAGGTTTCAGAGGCCCTCATCGTGCACCGATTCCAGGCGTTTGCGGCGAGAGTGAGAAGTAGGTCAAGTGGCTGACACTGTTTCAGAGCGCAATAGGGGGATACTTTAAGTCTATTGAAGCAGTTAAGATAAGCCATCGGTATGGGATTCTCGCTTTCGCTTCCAGGCTTGTACCTGCTTGAGAGCAGAGAAATGGATGAGCTCGGGGAGGGTGAACCTCATCAGTATTGTAAAGGCTATTGTTTCCCCATCACACCCTGACAGGAAGTGGACTTAAGTGCAAAAATGTATTATCATCATTTGCTATTTAGAGTTTAGAGCACAGGTATCAAATTAATTTTACATCACGGACCACATACACGTTACTTTGATCTTATGTGGGCCGTACCAGTGAAACTCCCCTTTCTGTCAGTGTGCAGAAGCTTAACTACACATTTAAACCCAGAGAGATTTTAATATAAAAAAAAAAAAGAAAGTCAAATTTCAACAGCATTTCTAAATGATAAAGAAATGCTGCTGCAGTAAATGTATGAAATCTGTCAGCACAACTCTTTGGGCTTAAATTCTGTGTAGCAGTAATGTTTAAAATGATAGAAATCTATTATTTATTTACTTTGGGGTAGTATGAATGGTAATGGGGAAGGTCTGGATCAGTAAAAAAAAAAAAAAGGCTTCAAATCTTGTAAAAGGACGGTTAAAAGTCATATATTCATGTCCTCCTACACATTTTCCATCAAGTGGGCCGGATTGGAGTCTTGGGCGGCCGATTCTTGCCCCTGGGACTCATGTTTGCCAACCCTGATTTAGACAGATTTTCCTGACCTTTAATAATAAAGACAAGTTATTTCTCCAAACGAGCTACTGTGTCTTAATTTAAACATTTTTAATGCATAAATGTCCCTTTTTTTTTTAAAAAAACCACAAGTTGCACGTGGTGGCGTCGAACGGAAAAGAGGGTAATATTAGAAGCGGCCAATGCACCGATTACGCGCCAGTGCCCGAACCTGGAAGCTGTTGCATGCAAGCTGGCTTTCATATAGCTCACCTCTTGCACCTCGGCACGGGCTGACATTGTTGTTTTTCCTTTGCGGCGACACGTGGGCCAGGTGTAAACCGTGGAGGCTGACACCTGTTCGTGATGTCCGCCGCTCTGATCCAGCGCGTCCCGGTGATTCAGCAACCCGAAACTTACACGACCTCAGTCTGTAATGCGGTAATAACAGTCATTGCCTGCGTTTAAAACAAATAGCAGGTTTGGACAGCCCGTCACAGCGAGCGCCGTGAGTCACTTACTAGGAAAATAAGCGGTGCGTAAAATTGAGATCTGCTCTCCGCAGAGACGCGCACACGCCGGGTGTGTGGAACAAACAGGCACGGTGAGCCGCAAATTATAAACTTACCCCAGTGTCACAAGACGGTAGAGCCGCTGACTTAGTACTTTTAAAAGACGTCCTACAAGCGAGAGATCCACCTTAGCATCAAGCTTCGTGCTCCGTCAAAAACCGTCCTCTCCAAACGAGGGGAAAAAAGTGAGGCGTACTTTCTCACGTTCGTCTCCTTTTAAAAAATAGTTAAGCACAAGTGAGAAGATAGCGGCGGGAGGAGAGATGAACCACCGAACTCATCCCCGTCCGAAGCTCAGAGCGACTGAAGAGCGTCCAGTACATCCATATGTAAAGAGAGCCCGGGTTAGGCTACTCCCCGTTAAAATCAAACCCAGATTTCCCCCAAAACCAAGAGAGAAAGAGCGCACCCGAGAGAGAGAGTGAGGGTGAGAGAGAGTGAGGGTGTGTGTGTGTGTGTGAGAGAGAGATCTGCATATCCAATAGCGCACAGTATTTGGATAACTTAAGTTTCATTTTTTCCTGTAATTTGAAGAGGCGCCCAATTAATAAAAGAAATAAATATGCGCGAAGAAAAACACTACTTATATCATTTGATTTCATTCCACGGTCTCACTTTTACAACAAATACATCTCCGCCACTTTACGGACCGGCAGTTACTCTGCTGCCTGCTCTGAACGCTACGTGCTGGGCTGTGTTCACAGGCAGCCATATGGAGGTCGTAATGAGCGCACAACGCTGAACCTGTTGAAACGGAGTCAGGGGTTAGCGGGGGCCAAACAAACAAGAGGCAGATGCAGAATGTTGTGACTTATTAATCCCAATAATAGTCCAGCACACGCGGGATTTATTTGCGTCGAGGCACCGACTTTCCCCCCCTTTATTAATAATAGTAACATGGAATCAAACACACCAGGACTGCCTGTTGTGCGCTTGTGTAAAAAGAGGCTCGTTCTGGCAGAGAAAATGTGGACCTGCGCCCTCGGCTATGACAGCATCGCATTAACTCATTAACTGCCTTCATGTGACTTTAAAGAGCATGCGGTCTGTCGTGATGAGTGCTGGCAATTTTATACAGCCCGTCTGGGGAGCGCGTGCCCAAAGGCGCACTGGGGGAGCAAATGGATTTTCGGGGATTTGAGAATTAAAGCAGGTATCGAAGACGTAGGTAACGGCAATTAGAGCCGCTGACGTTTATCACAAAACGGCCAAATAAAATAGGCCGTGTCGGGACTTCTGGGCAGAGTTCATTTAATGTAAGCACAGAGGATAACTTGTCACACGTGTAAAACCAGCCCGGCAGAACCGCGAGGACGGGCCACAGTTCACTTCATAATTCCAGGTAATTTATGGGCGACAGCTCGCGTGTTGCTCTACGTGTTATTGCAGGTGCAGCCTGCCTACCGGTGGGTAGGCCGGTCATTAGTATCGCGGTCGATCAAATCCCGAGAACCTCCTGGCCCGCTGTAAGCTGATCAACATTCCTCCTGTAGGCGATTTACTGTACCATCCTCTGGGGGGAACAGCACAGCACGGCATGGCCCAGCTTGGCCTGGCCCGGGCCCGGAACCGCGCTGCCTTCATCCAGTAATTCATCTCAAACAAAGACCGTTCAAACACGAATTCAAAGCCGCGGATAATTAAAATTAATAGGCATTAACCCCCAACCCCGTGCGCGTGCGCGTGCGCTACGCCCACGGAGCACACCTGCAGCAAATACTAATTAACAGTATCAGTGAACACAATGAGACACGGAGAGGGGGGGAAAGGAAATTACTCAAATCAGTTAATGGATTTAAACACAAAGGGGAAAACGGCTCAGAAAGTGGGCTAAAATTAATGAAGTCTGATGAAAGTAAGTGACGAGCAAGGGCAAGCATACAGGGGAGCCGTGCAGTGGAGACAGAATATTGGGATTTTTCGATTTGCTTCCAGAAAACTTAAAACACAAAGGTTTATGTGACTCCTTTTGTTCAGCGATTAATACTTTATTTATTTATATAAGAGCAATTTAGTTCTTAATCTCAGGTGGTTTGTCTCCACTCATTCCAAATAACTCGCCAAGAGTTAAGCTTCTAAATGGGATCTTGTAGTAAATCTTAATATTTCGGATGCATTTCTATCCCAGTCTTATTAAAATCTCTCAGATTTGCAGATTGAACATCGATACAGGCGCTTCAAATATTCTCCAGTGTTTTGAATTAAAATACTTGAGTTTAGTGCTAAACGTTTGAGAAAGTAGGGCAGCAAATGGAGAGAAGCTGACACAAACACAGCAGGCCTTCATCAATTGATCCAACAAACTGTCCGAAACACAAAATCCTCAAACTCTTTGGTTTGATAAAAGGAGGAAAAAAAACAAGTGGGGGCATTTTGCTGCCAGCGTTTCTGTTTACACGGGGGCAGTGCAGTCCATGTTCACGCGTTTTATTTGAGAGAGGGGACAATTTTGACGCATTCCTGTGAAATAAAGGAGCTCCACCATCCAGCCAGTAATCTAGGTAGATTATCTCTGCAGTTACAAGTGGGAGAGGCTGGACTGCGTTAAAGACAGAATGAAAGAAAGCAAGACTAACAACAGGCAACACACTCACTTGCTGTCAGATGGGATTCAAGCGGGGAGCTCTCCTCGGTCCTTTAGTTGTTGTACTTGGATCAGTCTGCTGATTGTGTCTGCAAAACAACCCCGTCTGTCTGTTCCAAGCCCGGGGGCTCTCGGCACTAGGTTCCCTGTGGCGGACACCCTGGAGAAAATGTCAGCCTCCGACTGTTTCCTCGCTTCATTTTTTGGCACCCCTGCTGTCGGGCGCAAGGAGAGATGCTTACCTTATCCAGAGGGGAAACCCCCAATTGGCTTTCAGTGGAGACGGGCCTCCCTCTTGTGGCGAATACCGTGTAATACTCAGTCAGACTAATAACCTGTGCCTTTAAAAAATAAAAAAATAAAAAAAATCTGCCCCAAAGTACATAAACGCAACTCACACTTAGGTGGCGCTATAGTACTGAACATTTTCCTTATCACGGGGTTCTAGTGGCGGCTCTGCATTACCTTAGAGCAAGATAACGTGAAAATGATACCCAGTCATGTCACTAATTAAGCTGGTGAGTTGAGTGGATTTCCACCAGGTGCACCTTTGTTGACGTTTTATCAGCCTCAGATTTTCTGAGACAAAAAAAGATTCGTGGTTGTTTGTATGGCAGTAAGCAAGAGAGCATTTCCACGATATAACTGGATCAGCTGGCGTGGCCGCCGTGGAGACATGTATGCCCTTAGCATGAAAACAAGTGTTACTGTTAAGATTAGGGCTGTTTCATTCAGTTACCCAAGTAAGCAGCGTTATATATGAACTAACACAGTACCGATCATCATTATTAACGTTTTTGACTAATCAAACAGATTTCAGCGTGATGACACATTTTTTTAAGTCTGTAGCTCACAGCTGAAATAAAGTAAAATACACAAAGAAAAAATACTATCATTTCATGTCGGGATTTCTTTGTGCTGTGTTATAGGTTCAGATAAGTTGTTGAATTAAACAGATCACTTTGCCATATTATTTGATTGTTTGGATTATTTGTTTTTCATTTACTGCTTTTCCCATCTTTTTTTCACTATAGCTACACAAGGAAACTCACCAGAATGTGATGAAATCTTCTGTTGGCACTTAATCACAGATAAAGTCACTCTGTTAGCACTGACTGATTTGCAAAGTCTTATTTTTTAATCCTTGAGGTGAGCGTTCTCACTGTTAGTTTTTAAAAGCAGACGTCATGAGCACAGAGGGGAACTCTTTGCTCATACTATAAGTTATCAATCACAAGTTAGGCCCCACAAAGCTTTATCATTCTGCTGGATACACAAGAAGATGACAATTTATAAAAATGAACATAACGTTGCATTTATTAATACTTTAAATTTAAATATAGGACATAGGAAACTGTTTACTAAGGACCTGAGGAGTTCACCCCTGCTGGCCTATAGAAGAAAATGTGGGCGTAAGAAACTTTTTAACATGCAGAACTTATGAGCTGTCGCTGACATTTTAATATCTGTAGAACCCACAGACTGTATTTTAAAGATGCACAAAGGCACTTTGATGTCACCCACTCAATTTTTTGCTGATATTTTGAAACCCTCAGTTTGGCATTTTGGTTTCTACAATTGTTTTTGTTTGTTTGTTTGTTTTTTAAACAAGAATGTTAAAAGAAATGACCATATTTGGACAAGAAGGATGCTATCAGCTAACATTAGTTCTTTCTATCCAGAGTGGTTAATAACTGGGATGTGTATTGTACTGTGACAATAAATGGGATGCTAATTTTCTGAGCAAAAACAGGATGTAAATGTTTAGACTGTGTTTAAACTGTGTCAGTATCTTTAAGGCTACAGACACAAATTGGTTGGAGAGTGCAGCACGACTAAAATTAGCTCAACCGTGTGTACTTGAACTTCGGATCGAGTTGCCTTTCAAATGGTTGTTTCTAAGACGGGATTCTGAGAGGTTTAACGCACAGCAACTTAAGAAAACACCAGCAAATAGAAAAAATGCCACAAAAGCACACGAAACACACAAAAAGTTGAATGAAACACAATGGAAATGGAAAAAAATGAAACACAAAAACGTCTTTTGGGGAGACAATGATGTGATGTAACAGAAACCAAAGCATGTGAAGGATTGCACTCAGGTGCACTTAAAAGAAGCTGAGGATTCATCTGAACTGTGAGCAGGAACAGACATAAAATAACATGTGCTTTAATCGCATCAGTCATATAATACTATAGATACATGTGTGCTATTAGGCAGTGCATTTGACCTCTCAGGGCCACCGTAGAATCCAGGTCTGCAACCACTCGCAGTCAGTTGCTGTCTGCAAATGGACTTTCATGCATCAAGATGGAAATAAAATGAGGATAACGCACAGTCAGTCTTGATTGAATAAGCTCAAGTTTCAAATTAGATGCAATCTGTTTGTGTTAATGGAGTGAATCTGCGATAAATAAGCAAAAACTGCAAATCTGTTGCCATCTACATACTCAATAACCTTGTACACTTGATTCAGTTATATAAATAGTGACATAAATGCTACAGGATGTCAATTTAAATGCAAAATGAAATAGCAATGTAGGAATATAACCAGAATACACAATGCAAACAGCTGAAAACCAGTTGAGATGAGTCCCTTATTGCTAAAAGATGCATCAACTTAGACAACTGCAATCAAAACTATCGCATCTATTTGTAAATGGTTGCCAAATATGAGAATATTCAATGCAAACACAGTAAAACCACCAATTTTTCCAAGTTGCAAGGATGTTGATGTCCTGTTTTCACTCTGAAATAACTTAGCCAAAACGTAGTGCTGAACAAGATAACATAGCAACCAAGTTTCACTCAAAGCCTTAA